CTAGCCACAAAGGGGCACAACGGACATGATTTTCATCACGTGACAGCTGCAGGAGAAATGCAGAGAAAAGAAAAGAACTTATCCCTGTACATGGCCATCTTCAACCTTACAAAGGCCTTTTCACCATTAACTGGGAAGCATTGTGGAGCATCATCCTCCTGTTTGCCTGCACCATGACATCTGCCACCATACTTCACCTATTCCACGGCAATATGGAAGTCATAGTAATGACAAATGGCCCCACCACCAACCCATTCCCTTTCCGACCAATATCAAGTAGGGCTGCATCATCACACCAACACTGTTCTCGCTCTACCTCGCTGCAACACTTCACCTCAACGATAACAAGCTCCCTGCTGGAGTTAACCCACAGAGCCAGCATGAAGTTATTCAACCTCCGATACCTTCAAACAAAATCAAAGTCACCCCAACCATATCATTGAGCTGCAGTACATTGGCTGATCCTTGCGTATGTGCAAACTCAGAGGACAAACTCCAGGCCATCGTCAGCACCTTTAAAGAGGCATACAAGAGCAAGGGTCTCACCCTGAACATCTACAAGACTAAGGAACTCCACCAACCTGGCCTGGCATTGTGACATGAACCCTCAATCATCAAGGTCCATGGGAAGGCCTTCAAGAATGTTGACTACCTCCAATATCTTGGGATCATATTGTCGACCAAAGCAGTTATTGATGAAGGGATCCAGAACAGCTTCGTAGCCTTCAGCCACCTTAGGAAAAGGGTATTGGAGGACAACAAGATCATTAGCTCCAACACCAAGCTTATGGTATTCAGAGCTGTGGTGGTTCCCGCCATCCTAACTGGCTCTGAGACGTGGATTGTCTACAACAGACACCTTAAGGCACTGGAGCGGCATCGATGCTGCCTGTGCAAGATCCTGCAAGTCCCCTGGGAAGACAGATACACCAACACCTGTGTCCATGAGCAGGCCAACATCTCCAGCATTGAGGCACTGACCATCCTTAATAGGCTATGATGGGCTAGGCACGTCATCCGCATAACTGACACGAGATTCCTCAGCAGGAGCTCTACTCCCAGCTCCGAAACAGTAAGTGAAGTCCAGGCGGACAGAGGAAATACTTCAGGGATACCCTCAAGGCCTCACTGGCGAACCGTAGCATTCCCACCGATACCTGGGAATCACTGACCCAAGCCTGTCCAAAGTGGAGGAGGAGTATCCTAGAAGGTAGTGAGCCCACCTTGAGACCTGCTGTCAAGGAAAAAGCAGAAGTTAGGTGAAAACAGCGTAAGGACTCACTGCCACACCAATACCCCACTCTCCCCTTCCCATAACCACCTTCTGCCCCAAGTGTGGCAGAGATCGCAAAAGCGGCATCAGACTATACAGCCACCTATGGACTCACCCAGAGAGTGAAACAGTTATCATTATCTGTGAGGAACCACCGATCATTATTCTCTATGGCATTGCGTCTATCAATCAGAATCCATTTGTAAATCAATCTCATGCACGGTTTTCCCTTGAATTTGTATTCTTGCAAAATATTCTGATGAGTACAAGATGAAAAGCTTCAACAAAATATATATTTCAGAAATGCTCAAGTTCTCTATCATCAATTATTCATTCACAGAATTCTGGAACTCTTCTCCTCTGATTCATTCTTAAAGCCCATTTGATGTCACTAACATTTCCCAATCCTAATAAGCTCTATGGCAGCAGGAGATAATGTTACAGTTCAGTTGGGAGTTTTTGCATCTGAATCTCATGGTCCTAGGTTAATGTCTCACCCTAAACCACAAAATTCAAGGATGACACACTGTGTGCAATCCTCTGGGCCCAAAGGCAGTGGTGAGATGGTGGTGGACCAGAATCCACCATCCCAGCACTGCCTAAATCAAGTTCTAGGCAGGAAGGCCCAAACTTCACCTTCCTGCACAATAAAGTGACTGTACATAGGCAATGGAATAGCCACTGATGGCCATTCCTGCCCAAACAGCCGTCTTTAATCACTTTCTACCCACTACCTCCACCAAGGTGTCCCTCCCAAACACAACTTAGCTCTTCCAATAGTTTCTCCATCCTAGGAGACAGGGAGGTGTTGTGCTGGCAACAGCCACTGCCTCTTATGTGGTACTTCTGGATTCTATAGTCATTAGCCTCTAACTGGCCAACAGCTCTTGGAACCCGGGACTTCTTTGTCCCTGGTCCTAATACTAGTAAAAAGTCTGCCAGCAACTCAACAACCTATTTCAAAATAGGAAGATGCTACCTTCCCTACTGAGGAAGCATTCTGCAGATGAGATTTTACATACACCCTATCCACCTACTTCACAACATAAACAATCCTGCAGCATTTAAAAAGAGCAATATCTATCCTTCTTTCAACATCTCAAAATATAAATATTTTGTCATAGAGATGCACAGCACAGAAACAGACCCTTCAGTCCAACTCATCCATGCCGACCAGATATCCTAAATTAGTCTAATCCCATTTGCCAGCATTTGGCCTATATTCCTCTAAACCCTTCCTATTCATATACCAATCCAGATGCCTTTTAAACTGTACTTGTACCAGCCTCCACCACTTCCTCTGGCAGCTCATTCCACGCACACACCACCCTCTGCGTGGAAAAAGTTGCCCCTTACATCCCTTTTAAATCTTTCATCTCTCACCTAAAACCCATGGTCTCTAGTTTTGGACTCCCTTACCCTGGGGAAAAGACTTTGACTATTCACTCTATCCATGCCCCTCATGATTTTATAAACCTCTATAAGGTCACCCCTCAGACTCCGACTTTATTAGATTTCTGGTCATTAGTAGATTTCTGCTTGTGGGAGGTTAATGAGTGCATATTGCCCACCTACAATACAACAGTGACTACAGGTAGTTCTCCCATAATGCAATAGTTGCATTCTTGTATGACCTCACGCTTTAGGAAATCACCATAGAAAATCGCATTGTAGGGAGATCACTATAGAAAAATCGCTATACCTGTACAGCAAAAAGTTCACGTTATCCAAACAGCTTCCACTATTCACCAATCACATTAACAAAACATGCGTTATAGCAGAACAACTTGTATACTTCATTCATTTTCAGTAAAGCAATTTGAAATGTCTCATAGTCATGAGAAGTACTTGTCTTTGGATATAAAGCACAAGACACAGCAGTACAGAAGGATCTGGGTATCAGGCATCAATCACAAAATGTTGGCATTCAGGTATATTAAGTTATTAGGAAGGTAAATAAAATGTTGGCTTTACAGCAAGGGGGGGGCAATGTAAAAGTAGGAAAGTCTTGTTCACTGTACATGGCATTCGTGACCCTAGATAGAGTATGGCATGTCTTTTTGATCTCCTTATTTAAGGAAGGGGGCGAATCGTTTAGTTCAATTGCCTTATCAACTAGCATGTAGATTAGCGCAAAGTCGAGTTTCCATTTGGGCCAAGAGACTTGGAGCCTGCTTCATCCTCTATCCAAAGTAAAGAATTCTGGCATTTTGCTGCAGTTTAATAAATACATGCTAAGGACCTGCCTTCAGATAGAAAATTGACTTTAATTTAAGTAAGAATATATTTGCATTGGGGACAGTTCAGAGAAGGCTCACTAGTTTGTGACTTATATATATTTCAATACCTTTAGTTCTAAACTTTTAACTAGCGACATTTTCATTTTCTGCAGTCTTGAATGAGTTTAATTATTAAGTTGCAAGTATTTCTATAGCCATGGTCTTTGAACAGTCTGAGAGAGACTGTTTCCAAGGTCTAACATGTTTTTGTTTCTATCAGGAGAGTTTACAAGTGAACTAAGTACACAGTGCACCAGTTTAGACTTTCTGATGGAATAATCTTTTTTTAAATGCTTGGGAGAAACTCAAATAGCTTTCAAAGAAACCTTTCCATTTTAGTTTCAGTTTCAGGAAGTTCTGCGGGAACTATTTTAGGAAATGACTTGGTAGGTTTCAAGAATATTGACCTCATCAAAGATGGTGGAACAACTAACAAAGGTAAAGAAATTGAAATATTCCAAGATCAACACCTTGGCTGATATGTTTAGCTCACGTTCTTTAATAAAAATGCAACAAGTAGATTTGGAATTGAAAGTTACAGCAAACAGCTTACTCAGAAATTGAATCAGAATACTTGAAAGAAAAGTACTAATGAGGAAATGGAGGCCACCTTAAATACCAGTCAATGAGAAATTGGCAGTGGCCCATCAGTAGCTCCATCTGCGTATCATGAAATAATACAAGCTGCCTGTCAGGCCAGCAGCTCTTCATTGTTCAGCACCAGCGAGGCAGTGTTGTCTGTGATGCACCCAGGATATTGAGATTCAGACCACAGGTGCAATAGCAGAAGAGGGATCAGAGAGTGATGGGGCAGGCAGGGCTGGCAGCAAGGGTAACTCTCAGCAAGGTCTCCCTTTCCCAATTATTCAGTCTCTTGATCACATGCTGTGTACTGAATAAGGACACCATCCAGAAACCAACCAGCAACTCTGATAAGGTTTATTTTTCGAGCATGGTAACTCCCTGCTTGCCACTGCATAAATACTAGCAGCAAGAGGATGAGCCTCTGAAGTGGTCTTTAATTGCAAAGGGGCAGAAAGATTATCCACAGCCCTTTGGGACCAAGCTTAATGAGGGCAGAAGCAGGTTCCCCACCAGCCACCCTCCTATCCATTTCAATGCACCACAGGGCAGGACTTCAAATCTACCAAAGGTTCCAAGATGAACAACAAGGTTGATGCATTACTTTTTCTATCATTCTTCCACTCATTTCATCAAATACCTTACCCTATCAATATTCGGAACTCCCAACTGTCGATGTCAAAATGGAACATAATCTTCATTATACCATATACCTGTTCTCCTCATTCGTGTTACTTTTTCTTCATTCTACCAATTTATTTCATCTCAATGTTTGAGTATATCAAACCAAACATTACAAATTTCTATGCCACATGTATGAAGCAAAGATACGCGATTTACAATTGAGACTGAAAGTAGTCTCTTACACAAATCATCCACGTTTGTTGTAATTTCCTTTACAGATGCTTAATCATTCCTTTAATTTCCTAAGCCTCTTGAGCAGTGGACTGAGATCTTTTGAGAAGAAATATTCCAGGACCTTTCCATTCCCTCTTTCAGTCATGGTCAGTTGATGTTTGATCTCAGCAATTTACTGCATAAGCTATGCAATCATCTCACAGATCAAACATGGGCTGCCTCTCACCTGGGGAAGCAAAAAAGAAATTGGATACACTATTCTGTGGTGACAGAGGAAAAATGTTGCTGTTGCTGTTGGTTAGTATTAGTATCCTGTACTGTATTGTCATTCATGGGATGCAGGCAATAGCGGTTATACTGTGTTTTATTTGCTCATCCATAATACTCAGAGAAAGGAACAGGTCATGGTAGTAGATTTACATAAAAGATGGAGAGAAGCACAAAAGCAGGCATGGTCCAGACAAGATGAATAACTGCAAGTTAAGAATAAGCACACAGACAGAGAACGAATAGCCATCAAATAATCCAAGACAAATAGGTAGGTAATGAAGTCTCCAGTGCAGTGGCAGCAGGATGTACCATATACTATTGCAATAATTTCCTTTGACAGCACCTTTCAATACCAGTTACCTAGAAGGACAACAGCACGGTAGCTCAGTGGTTAGCACTGCTACCTCATTATGCCAGGGACCCGGGTTGAATTCCACCCTCTGATGACTGTCTGTGTGTTCTTACACATTCTCCCTGTGTCTGCATGGGTTTCCTCCCACAGTCCAAAGATAAACAGGATAGATGGATTGGCTATGCTAAGTTGCCCACAGTGTCCAGGGATGAGTAGGAAATATAGGGTTAGGGTAGTGGGGTGGGTCTAGGCAGGATGCAGTTTGGAGAGTGAGTGTGAACTTAACGGGCCGAATGGCCTGCTTCCCCCACTGTAGAGATTCTCCGACTCCATCTGCATGCTCCCATCCAAACCACATAACATCCCGACTTGGAAATGTATCGCTGTTCCAGTGTCACTAGGTCAAAATCCTCGGAATTTTACCTCAGACTCCCTGGACCTTGCAGACAGCCAAGGCGGCAGTTCACCAACACCTTCTCAAGGGTAACTAAAAGATTGGCCAATAAACCCTGGCCAACTTTGTCGCCCAACCTCAAATTGAGCAGCGCAGTAACTATTGTTACCATAGTACAGGATACTGGTCCCAGATATGGTGTTGACCCACACCAGGGACACATTCGTATAAGCACCGGTTACATCAGGGCTACCCAAAGTGAGGGTCCAGACTCCTACTGGGGTCCAGCCAAAAACCGGGATGCGCCCTGTGAAGGCTAGAATGGCCGCAGTGGGGCTTCGGTCAAGTGGCAACAGCCGTGCCCCATAACCACGCTCTCTTTAAGGGGTCGCCTACACTTTTCGAAATGGGGTCTCAGTGGGGAAATACATTTAGGAAGCGCCGATCTCGAGATCGGGTGCCAGTCCCTGTGTCCCGCTAAACCCCGGACAAGTGCAGGATGTAAATCCACCCAAACTCCGGGGTTTCCAAACGCTTGTAAAGCCCTCATCCTAACTGCGTGTGGAAATCATGGTGAGGAAAAGCAGCAGAAAATAAAACGCTGGCACAAGTTCACTTACTTCACATTTTTCTGAACGTCATTCTTCAGATGATCGTACAGACATGGGATTATTTGAAGATAAACTACTCGCCCTATTTAGTGAGCGTCCCTGAGGTGATACCCACCAACGGCCACATCCTTCTCATCACATGGTTCGAGCGCAGCGCGAGACCGTCAAAGAGCGCCAACGGCCGGGGATGGAACCACTGACTGACAGTCCACTCTACCAATCAGAATCCGAGCAATGACACGCTCGACCAATCAGTATTGGACTGTCTGCCCTACTGGCCAATCAGCATCCGGCTGACCGAACGGCGCATGAGAAGTCAAAAGACACCCGGACATGGTCCAACAGGTTTATTTGGAATCACAGAAGCTTTCGGAGCGAAGCCTTTTTCGTGTTTGTTACTTGTGACTTTATCCAACCCAGTCCAACACCCCCATCTCCACATGCGGATGGCGCGTGAGCAAATCACGTTTGTTCTAGAAGGAGCATCATTCTTGACCACTCACTGGCCACTGTTCGGCCGGCCCAGACCAGTTCACACCTTATCTTTCACCACCCACCAAATATTGTCCAGTCTGTGCTATAGCAAACAAGCAGCCAGCAAGAGCTAAAGAGAAATGTTATCAAATATTAGTTTCGTCTCGTCTGTGTGGAATGGAGTTATTGCGTGTGAGATCGATGTGAAGTTACGACGACGAACTCCAGTCAAATCCTGTCTCCTTTCGGGTAATGGCAGCAAGCAGGACTTATGCAGGCTGTGAACAAGCAACAGAATAATACTTCCATTTGAAGAGTCCCACCTCTAGATCATCGAGCTAAAAAGCTAACATTTGTTTATCTCATCAGATCCGCTGAGAATTTCCTCAGCGCACTAGTCACTTACTGACAACAAGTTGCAGGGCTGGATGAACACAGCAGGCCAAGCAGCATCATAAGAGCAGAGAGGCTGACGTTTCGGGCCTAGACCCTTCATCAGAAAAGGGGAAGGGGAAGGGGAAGAGGGTTCTGAAATAAATAGGGAGAGAGGGGGAGGCGGATAGAAGAGAGATAGAGGAGAGGAAACAAACAGGTCGAAGAGGCGGGGATGGAGTGTAGTGGGAGAGAGATCCCTTGAGGTTTGTCCGGAGGGAGGAGGGTAACTTCTTCAGGCTAGGCATCCTTAGAAGAGGCTTCGCAGTGGGGTTAAAATTGAATCAGAGATAGTAGGAACTGCAGATGCTGGAGAATCCGAGACAACCTAGCCTGAAGAAGTTACCCTCCTCCCTTCGGACAAACCTCAAGGGATCTCTCTCCCACTGCACTCCATCCCCGCCTCTTCGACCTGTTTGTTTCCTCTCCTCTATCCCTCTTCTATCCGCCTCCCACTCTCTCCCTATTTATTTCAGAACCCCCTTCCCCTTCCCCTTCCCCTCCCCCTTTTCTGATGAAGGGTCTAGGCCCGAAACGTCAGCCTCTCTGCTCCTATGATGCTGCTTGGCCTGCTGTGTTCATCCAGCCCTGCACCTTGTTGTCTCGGATTCTCCAGCATCTGCAGTTCCTACTATCTCTGATTCACTTACTGACAATATGTTTACAGGAAAACTGCATGCAAAAACTCCCCAGCTCAGCTGTTCTGCTACACGTGTGACACTGGTATTTATTGCACCTGACAAGGTTAAAATAAGTTTTGATACTACAAAAGATACGGTATCACTTAGTATGAAAAAGTATGAATTAGTGCCTTTTCTACAATTGCTCAGTTCTAGTTCTGTCAGAAGCATTGCTCTACGACCTTGATTTACATAGATTTATTGATAGCAAGGCAACATGTGATTGATTAGCCCTAACAAAACAAATCAAAGGAAAGCCCTTTAGAATTGTATCAAGTTATATTCCAGTAGCTGGAATTACGTCCGATACAAAGGATGGTGCTTGTTGGAGGTGAATCATTGCAGCTGTGGGGCAATACTGGAGGAATGCCTCAGGAAAGTGTTCACAATCCAATAACTTTAGCTGTTTTAACAATGATCTTTCTTTCAACGTAAGATATGAAGCAGAACTGTTTGCTGATAATTCCACATTGCTAATATGCAATAGCAATGTAATCCATGCCACTTTATTTATACTCTTGGGGTATTAAGTAGCAGATAACATAAATTTCTGATAATTATCAATTCTAACGCCCAACCATCTGCCTTTGGCTGTTAAAAGCATCACCATTAAATCTTGAGGATGCAACATCACTGATGAGAAGCCAAACTGGACTGTCCATGTCAAAAAAATGACTACAAGAGGTGGACAGAAATATGGTTGAAGGGCCAAATAGCCTCCAGCTACTCCTATTTTCTATATTTCTGTCAATATTTTGAATGGGTGAGACGAAGGGAGGTGGGAGGAGGTTTGTGTGGACCTTAACACTGACATAGACCTGTTCAGCCAAATGGCCTGTTTCAGTGCTGTAGATTCTGTGTAGCACTGTACAATAAGTGGCTCATCCCTGATCTTTCAAAGCCTCTGTACCATCTACAAAACATGTCAGAGATCCGAAGGAGTACTTCTCTGGGTAAGTACAGCTGCAATTATACTGGACACTATCCAGGGAACTACTTTCCTTAATCAGTTGCTCTGTAACATTGGATTCAGTATCCAGTCCTTTAACAATACACGGTGGCTACAGTTGTGTCTTCTAAATTCATATATGTTGCATCACCAAGCTGCACACAGCAACTTGTTAAACAAAAACAGAAATTGCTGGAAAAGCTCAGCGGGTCTGGCAGCATCTGTGGAGAAAAATTAGAGTTAATATTTTGGGTTGAATGACCCTACGTCAGCATCTTGTTAAGTTTAGTTTGACAACACTCCCCCCACCCCCCCTTGAAACTCCACTACCAAAGAAAGTGCAACAAAACCATAGCAATGCTCATGTTTCTTACCAAGTTACTACCATCCTGAGCTGGACATATATTGATTGCTGTCCTTCCATCCCCACGGAAAAGTCCTAGTATTTCCGAATGAACTCCATTGTGACATCATTATTACTAGAAGGGGAACAGTTGAAGTAGAAGACACACCATTACCGCTACGGTGACTCAGCTAAGAGCGTTAGAAGAAGTATATGATACTAAACTATATAGAAAACAGTCATCTAGAGAGTATGCTTTAAGTTGAGCCAAGGCAGCTCAAAGAGAAATAGATTCAAACTGGAGAAAAGTGAACTGATATTCAGAAGAACTTCAGTTAAAGGGTATCAAGCTTTGGAGTAACTTTCCTGATAGGACAGTGAGGAGTGTTTTTAAAATCTTGATGAATCAGAGGATAAGTGTATGCTTTCCTTTCTGTATAGGTATATCAAAAAAGGCCGAAAAACCCTCCTCATCTATTTTTATCTTATCATGTAATAATGACTTATTTAACTTTTTTTGCAATATACAGCAAAAATGTTTCAACTCATTTGTTTATTATTGTGCTAGGCCTCTGCCAGGACATGCGCATTGATAATCAAGCCCCACTTCTCCAAAAGCCATACCTTTACTGTAAACATCTTATTTTATCACCAAGCTCATCCATTTGTTTATTTTTGTTACTGTTCTCTAGAACTTTCAGTAAATTCAAAAATAACTTGTTTGTTTAAACAAACTGATTCTTTAAATAAGGGGCTAAACTGTTAAGTAACTGTATCATCTCCTTAATCTCAAGATACACATGCATACGTGACAAGGGTCAAAAATCAAAGAATTAAAAAATGGAAAACTTCTCAGTTCAGTCAACTTCCTGTTATTGGGCCTGTTGCATTGCTGACAATTGTAGAATTGAAGTGATGTTCACATCAGACTTTAGTTCAGATGTGAGTTAGGTAGAAATCCAATTTGTTAAATTGAGCCAGATTTTCTAAGCAGTGGAAATTTCATGCCAATTGCCACTCGTTCTTTCAGTTTTACAAAATGGAAGAGCTCTGCATTTTTGATGAGAGATTCTGATCCGGACCCCTTCAGAAATGCAAAGCCATACTTCCATTCTGACAAATCGTCCATAGAATAGAACAGTCAGGAAGGCACAATATGGCCTTTTCTACAGCAGTCACTTGCTGTTGTTGAGACCTTCATTATTTTATTTTACTTTTATCATTTTTGGTTTGTATCTGTGAGCTGAGAGCTGAAGATGACTTTGGACTTTGAGCATCAACTTATTTTTAAAAATGAGAGAACAAATAAACTGACATTTGTTTATGAGGCTAGTCCTGGAAGTTAATTGCAGGTCAATTTTTGTTCAAAGAACACTGTAGATGTGTTGGTTCCGGGAATGCATTATACTCAACAAGATGGCAGATAGTGAATGTTAACTGGGGCTTCGGAAGAAGACTGGTATCAACCAGTCTAACAAAGAGAAACTGAAGTTTGAACTGGTTTTGGACTGTGTTTAAGTCAGAAGAATTGTGTCTGCAAAGCCACAGGAAGGAAATATGATTGCTCCCTGGTTATCCTCTTTTTTTCAACTTATTGAAAGTTCAGAGAATACAATCTCAGTTTGAAAAGTGAATATTCCTCAGAGCCTGCTGGAAGCTGTTTGTATTGATCAGTGTGTTCAAGCACGATACAGTTCCATGTGACTGTTACTGTGCGTTGTGGAAACTGTTTAAGTGAACAGGTCAATTACATCTCTTTTATTTTTCCTTAATTTATCCCTTAACTGTGTCTGTCCATGTGGGATTTGAATCAAAGAAGTTTAGGTTAAAATCATAGACATTAATTAGATTATCCTGTTGTTTAACTTTGTTCTGCTAAAGCTACTGTATTAATAATAAATTGTTAATTCTTGTGTTTAAGCTGTAAAGTTGGTGTCTGGTATTGGTTATTTACAAAGTTTGCTTAGGAACCATTGAGGCAATTTTGAAGGCCATTGAGTATATTAATTTTACTGTATTACAAATTTGGCAGGCTGCCTCCATGTCATAACACTGTATACTGTAATTTAAGTTTCAGCGTAACAGTCAACTACTCTGACAGCTCTTGTGAGAAAGTAAATATGCAAGTTAATTGTGAGCTTAGGGTGCCAGATAGGTGGGCGTAGTGTGCCAGGTGGGTAGTAGGTAAGGTGCCAGGGCACAAGTTGTCAAAGAGGCCAGGTAAGCGATGGAGTGTTTAGGG